TTTTTAATGTGGATTGGTGGTACGTCAGTGTGCCACATGCATGCAGTGCCCATAGATGCCAGAAGAGGGAGTAAGATCTCCTAGAACTGGAGTTAAAGACCACTGTTAGCCAATATAAGGGTTTTGGGAACTGAACCTGGGTCCTCTGGAAGAGCACCCAGTGCTTTTAACCACTGGGTCATCTCTCCAGCCCCAAAACACAAAATTTTGAAACATAGTAAGGTTACAGCCATGAAAAAATAATCACAGAAAGAAGAAAGTGCTCCTATTAAGTAGATTGTGGGCGTCATCAACATCTTTTATTTCTTTGTCTCTTTTTTTATTTTTTCAATGAAAGTGTGTCTTTATCAGTCACAATTCCCAACAACGATCCCTCTACAGAGTAGCTTGGGACTTTGTAACCCAGCAAAGGCCCCTTTTTCATCCACTAGGAGCTCCAGCTTGAGGACGAGAAGACATCCCAAGAGAAGGAAGCCATGGGACTTCTCTCAGTTAGCTAACTTCCTAGCAAGTTGTAAACTGGCTTCCTTAAAGAAACCAGAGTCATGGGTGCCTTCCAGAGAAATCCAGCTGCAGCTGCAGCTTTTGTCCCAGAGTTATCAGTGTGGTCCTCTCAACTCTTAAACCAAGCAATCATTATTCAACAGCATTAGTGGTCCAAAGCAACAAAACATGGTGGTTGCATTAAGATCCTCTACTCTTCAGGGTGTCTTCTCGAGAGCCATGACTATGCCCAGAACATCAAGAATCAGAGTGTTCTCTTGGAGATGTGTCCAAACCAAATGACAGTATGTCATCATCCCTCTAACGAGGGACTTTTTTGCAGAGCCACTTCCCATGATGACAGTTTGAACTTGATAAATAGAAGTGTGTTGATGATGGGGGATACTGTAAGGTCACATTAACATGGCATAGCTCTCCCTACCTTGCCTTGCAGACTTGGAGCTCAGCTGTGGAAGCTCCATAGCGTTGGTCTCAAGGTCCTGACCTGCTCTTGTGCTTTTTTTTAGATTTTTTTTTATTTATTATGTATAAAGCGTTCTTCCTGCTTGTATGCTTGCACACCAGAAGAGGGCACCAGATATCACTCCAGATGTTTGTGAGTCACCTTGTGGTTGCTGGGAATTGAACTCAGGACCTCTAGAAGAGCAGCCAGTGCTCCTAACCTCTGAGCCATCTCTCCAGCCCCCTCTTGTGTTCTTAACAAGTAGAAACTGTATCTTTCATCTCCGAGATAATAACATCTGCTGCTATTTAGGGTGTGCAGAAAGATTGAATGAAAAGAAGATAGAGAGCCAAACTAGCCTTCAAAGGCCAGTATTGTGTGTGACTGTCTGCTTCAGTGAGTTCTTATCTATTTCTCTTTCTAATGTTTATAGACAACCCATGAGAGACACTGTAGGTCCTTGAACCATGTACTATTTGCAGTTTGTTGGTTTTAATAAATCATTCTAGCAAACTCACATCCTGTTAAAGGCAGTTCTAATGGGGCGGGGTGAAGGATTTCAGTGCTATCAGATATCATAGATGTATGAAATCAGAACATTGAAAGACGTATAATGAAAGGGAACATTAACCTCAGCTTCAGCTCACTTTCACTTCTACATCTCTGTCTCGAGTTCTAAGTCAGGCCGTTGCTTTGCCAGGCTCTGTTTCTGAGTGGGCATGACTTCATCTTTCATCCGGGTGTTTATTCATCTGACTGAGAGAGCTTTAAGTCCTCTTGAAAAATTAATTTGGCCTTAACTTTTAGCTATCGAAGACTCCCTGGGTGAAGATGAAATGAGGCTAGGGGGAGTTTTGATTTAACAAATGGCCATTAAGCAGGAGTCTTTGATCCTCAAATCAACCCTTTGAGGGACTGAGCTTCAAGCAGATCAAAGCTGACATAGTTGGTGGTTGGCACCAAAAGGAACCTGGCACCTCCCAGCTGCCGTGGGCTGCCACAGCCTGTCAGGTAGGGATTGTAGATTTTCCTAAATGCTTACTCGCCTCAAGAATTGGATGAGGACATAGGTAAACAGATGAATGATCTCCTTTGAACCTGGAGCTGCACGTCCTCACTGCTTCTTTGCTCGCTAATGTTTTTGTTTGTTTGTTTGTTTGTTTTGTTGTTGTTGTTTTTCTTTCATTAAAAATGGCCTTTTTTCATACTATATATTCTGATTATGGTTTCTCCTCTCCCTACTTCCAGATCCTCCCCCACTTCTTCTCCCATCTGAATTCACACCCTGTCTCTCATTAGAAAAGAAAAAAACAGGTATCTAAGGAATGATAAAATAAATCAAAAACATACACATTGGAGTATGACAAAACAACCAAGCAATAAAGAGAGTCAAAGAAAGAGCCCAAGAAACACATATTGACCCAGAGACACACACTTTCACACACACAGGAAACCCAATAAAAACCTCCAACCAAAAGTCATAATATATACGCAAAGGGCCTGTAGAGTAGGGGTATGGAGGTTCCCTGACTTAGCATTATGAAATAAAGAATATCCAAAGATGCCATTGAGTTTATTTTGTGTTGGCCATGTATTAGTTGGCATGGGACCTACCCTCCCAAGTGGTTTGTTTCCCTAAGTGAGATTCTCTTGAACAAAACTTAATCTTTCATTTGCAAGTGGCAATCAACTGGAGATGGTTTCTGTGTTGGGGATGGAGGCATGTGTCCACATCTCCTTTCAGGTCTAGGACCCCATCTGGTGTAGACCCGTGCAGGCCCTCCGTCTCTGAGTTCATGTGTGTGTCAGTCCTGTTGTATTTATAAGGCCTTCATTCCTTGGTGTCTACCATGCCCTCTGGCACTTACTCTCCCCTGCCTCCTCTTCCGAAGAGCTCCCCAAGGACTGAGAAGAAGGATTTGATGGAAACATCCCTTTTAGGACTGAGTGTTCAAAGATCTCTCACTTTCTGTATGTTGCAGGACTGTGGGTCTCTGCATTTGTTTCCACCTGCTCCAGGAGGAACCTTCTCTGATGATGGCCAAACAAGGCTCACATCTATCTATATAGCAGAAAGTCATAACATAATTTTATTACTATGTTCCTTTAGCAGAGCAACAGCATCTGGATTTTTCCTAGGTCTGTGGCCTATCTAGTCTCAAGTTCTTGATCACCCAAGCAGCATTGGGTATGGATTCCATCTCATGGAGTGGGCCTTATCTCAAATAAAATTTTAGATGGTTATTCCCACAAGCTTTGTGCCACTATGGCGTCGGCGTATCTTTCACGCAGGCCACCATTGAAGATTAAAGTTTTTTTTTTAAACAGAATTTATGTTTACCTTTCTTCTTTGGTAGCATGCAGAGTACCTTTCAGTAGCATGAAAAATAGCCAGTAGAAGTACAGGTTCTAGGTAGGCACCAGCTTGGCTTCTCTATGTTCAAGGAATTGTGTGGGTGTTGTCTTCAGCAATAGGGCCTTAGTGGAGTGTGTGAAGAGCCACCAATAGCCTTGGCAATATTTGTTCCCTACTGTAAAAGTTCTCAATCATGATTCTTCAGTCTCTGTTGCCTGCTAAGCTTCTACACCTTTTAAAAATTAAAAGGAAAAAACAATTTTCATTCACCTTTATTAAGAAAAAAAGTAAGGGCTAGAGAGAGGCTTGGTGGATAAGAGCTCACACTGTCCTTGCAGAGGACCTGGGTTCGGTTCTCAGTAGCTGTTCTGGGAGGCTCACAGCTGCCTCTTACTGCAGCTCCAGTGCCACCCTCTGGAGTGCCTCCCTCTTTGGTCCATTGTCACCTAGGCAACCAGTATGCCTCTCTTGGGAGATGCTGAGACATCCTAATAGGCCCAAAGATGAGTCTCTGCCAACAGAGAGGAACAGCTCATGTCTACCTGTTCTGGCCCATAGAATACCTCTACTCATGTGCACATGGCCACATGTCTTGGGGATTCTATCACTGTGAAGAGATACCATGACCATGCCAACTCTTACAAAGGAAAGCACTTAATTGTGATGGTTCACTTACAGTTTAAAAGTTCAGTCCATTATCATCAGAGTGAGACATGGTGGCATGAAGGAAGACATGGTGCTGGAGAGGTAGCTGAGAGTTCTACACTGGACAGGCAACAGGAAGTAAACAGTCTCACTGGGCATGGCTTGAGCATATATGACACCTCAAAGTCCGCCTCCACAGTGACACACTTCTTCCAACAAGACCACACCTACTCCAAGAAGGCCCCACCTCCCTGTAACATGAGGAGGCCTGTTTGTTTATGTTTTCTGTCTCGCCCAGCTCCCCAATACTCCACAGCTGTTTAGTCCCAGAGAAAATCAACCACAGAGAACTCCGTAAGTTATAATGCTGATTGGCCCATTAGGTCAGGCTACTTATTAGCTAACTCTCACATCTTGATTAACCCATTATTCTGATCTATTTTAGCCATGTTGCTCAGTACCTTTTTCAGTGGGGCAGCTTACATCCTGCTGCTTCAGTGGTCTGGGCAGGAGTGGCAAGAATCAACTTCCTCCTCCCCAGAATTCTCCTGCTCTCCTTGCATCATTTCCACTTCCTGTCTGGTTTTCCCGCCTACACCTCCTGCCTGGCCAATCAGCATTTATTTAAAACATGATTGACAGAATAGAGACAATTCTCCCGCACCACTCCTCCCCTTGGTGCCACTGTCTTTGAGGGCCATTTTCTTTCAAACCACCACACCACACATAGACACAACTACACATAATCAAAAATTCAGCAAGTCTTTTAAAAAGAAAAAAAAACTTATATACATTAAGCATAAGATAGACTGCAATGAAAAGGATGGAGAGAGAACAGAGAGGTTGCTGTGAGTGGCTGAAATGTACTTTCAAGGAGTATATGGGCTCTCTCTAAAGGTACATGCTATAAAAGCAGAGTTGCTGCCACGTGCAGACACTGGCCTTGCTAAAGATGGCTCAGAGCATCCAGACTTGTTAGCGGCCTTGAGTGCAGCGGGAGGCTCACCCGAGGACACCCCTCCTCTGACTCTTCCATCTCCTTCTTTCCCGCAGATGGAGAGCTCTCCATTTCGAATGACGATGATTCCCTGGAGAACGGCCAGTCCCTGAGCTCCAGCCAACTGTCCCTGCCTGCCCTGTCAGAAATGGAGCCTGTACCAATGCCCAGGGACCCCTGCTCGTTTGAGGTGCTCCAAGCTTCAGATATCATGGACGGACCAGGTAATGACCTGGCAGAGGCACGGGGTGGGTCTCCAGGATGTCACAGTCCCCTGGCAGGATTTGGGATGCGCATTTTAACCATCTAGGGCGTGAAGACGGAGAAATGTGGGAAAAACTAATGTTATAGTTGTCTGCACATGACTAAGCCTAAGAAAATATGGATGCTATTTTCACATAATGTTTATGTGTAAAGTGTTTGTAAAAACACTTTTTTCAATCACTTTAAAAATATTATAACTCCTCTTATAATATTGATGGTTTAAAATATTGTTTGTTTTCTAAGACTCATCTTTGCTAAGATAAATCGAAAGAATCCTATCCCTCTCTAGACCTGTCTAACCTTTCTGTCCCAAAGGCCTGACTACACTGTCTAATTTCTAGTCCCAGTATACTCAGCAATGATCAGATCAGTTTAATAAATATACTAGTTACAGCCAATCAACACATTTGTTAAATTGTATACAATTTCCCAGCTAAGCTGGAGCCTGCCATAGATGTGTTTGGATACCTTCTGATTATTGCCTCCCTCCGGTCTAATGCCACCCAGTGGCCAACCTGTCCCACTTCAGGAGGTGCAGAGCTCTCCTAAGCAGCCCGAAGATGAGTCTTTACCAACAGAGAGGAACAGCTCATGTCTTAATGGGCTGGGGAAGGAGCCTCAGGGACTACCTGGAATGCAGACGGGAAGGCTACAGTCCTGGCTCTGCCATGGGCAGCGTCTGTGTGCATACTTTACTCGAGTGGGAGGAGGAGAGAGGGGTTGTCTCCCAAGCTGATTCTCACGCTTCACTGCGGGACCTGGCCAGCTATTGTTGAACGCGGATTAGAGCAATGTCCCTTGAGGTGGGGAGTACTCAGGGTGTCAAGGGTTCTTTGCAGGTTGAGCTGTTATATAGACATTACTTTCTCCAGAGGAGAAGGAAGGCAGAAGAGTGGAAGAATCCTTTATAAACTGCCTCCTTGTGACAGTCATGGCAGGCAGGGCACAGGCGGTTGAACTATATCTTGCCTCTTAGAATTTTCAAACAGGAACAGCGATTTTCAGTTTTTAACTCAACACCCCTTGGACCACTGGAACCTGGCAGTTAGAGTCTTTTAGTGAAGGTTACCACCCCAGCCAGGTCCCGGGGTTTTACCTTGCTTGCCCAGATTGCTAGCACAGTAGGAAGCAGTAGGCTACCTCCTCATAGCAACTCAACAAAGGAACCTATCAGGAGGTTGCTGTGGGAAAAACAAGAGTCAGGCCTGAGTAAAGAGATGGGGAAGAGTTGAAACCAGACAGTGGGAGCCAAGATGTGACTCAGTTGCTATGGTGCTTACCCAGCATGCACAATGCCCTGGGGTCAATCCCTAGTACCATGTACCTAGTTAGTTCCAAGGCAGGGTGGTACATGCCCTGCAATCCCAGCACTCAGGAGGTAGAAACAGGAGAATGGGAAGTTCAAGGTTAACCCTCCTAGAATATACGAGAACCTGGAAAGAAGAGGGGGAAGGGGAAGGAATAAATAAAGAAGTCAACCGGAAGTCTGGCAAGCAGGAAGTAAAGGAACTGGATAATTAAAAAGGTAGGGCCTTTGTACATTCTCTGCCTTGTGAGAATTTAAAGGGCCAGGCAGGGCAAGAGTGTGTCCTCAGAACTAGAGTCCTCATAGAGAGCCTGGCCCTTAGTCCTGGCCACTCTGGAGGAGCAGCCACTCAAGCCTGTGTGCATAGCCTGCCAGTGTCCACCCTGTCAGCTGTCACCTGGTATCGTGGGCCAGAGAGCGAGACTCAGTGGACATCACCAATAACCTCCACCAGTGTGTGGCCCATCTCTCTCTTCCCTCAGCATGGGAAGAGCCCAGGGGTCCAAGAAGAGGGGCTGGTTCTTCTTGTTCAGTTTAGAGGACTCAAAGACCTAGTCATTGTCCTGATGGGTGTGCCTGTGGTCTCCTGAGTCACACGGCAGAGCGTCTGTGAACTTCGGGGGTTGCAGGCTCAGTTTGAAGTGGTGACCTTTGTCATGAAGCGGTGCCCTTGCCCCTCCTCCGTTGCCCTCTTGCTTCTCCTCATTTCTCCTCTTTCCTCCTCATCATCCCTTTCCTGCCCCTCCCCCTACATCCCGCCTGCTTTCTTGGATTTCTCTTGTCCTTGCTTTAGCTCTCCGTGTGCCCCTTATGGCCTGCAGCGGGTGGCACTCTGCTCTCTTGTTGGGCTGCCAGTGTCCCTGTCCTGTGCCCCTGGCTGGCCTGCGCTACGTTTGTGTAATGTCTCCTGTGTGTCATGTGGTTGTCCCCCCAGTGTCTCAAGAGAGTCCCTCTGCCAGTGAGTCTGGAGTCCTCCTGTCCCAAGATCCTTCAGCCAAACCAGTTCTGTTCCTGCCCCCCAAAAAACCTGCTGCTTTCTCTGGAGACCATGAGGAGACCCCAGTGAAGCAGTTGTCCCTTCTCAAGCAGCCCCCGGCCCTGCCTCCCAAACCCACTGCCCGGATTGCCAACCACTTAACAGGTAAGTCCACCCTCTTCCGAGGCGCACAGCCCCCTCCCTCCCTTCACGGGATAGTTTCTTTTTCTCTGGTTCTTTTTATCTGAAGCAGCTCTGGGAAGATGACCACATGGGGTGTTTGGGTGTTTGTATGTGTGTGTTGGTACATAAGGTCACAACCAGAGTTTTTGTCTCTGTGTCAAGAAGCATTTGATATGCAATTGCCAGCCATATGCCAAGAGCCTTCGGTGTTATCTGTCATATGTGTATCAGTAAATATGTACTTTGTATTTATGTGACCGATTCAAGATTATTGCCCATCTGGGCACATTAGAATCAATGTCAAAATGTTTACACAAGCAAAGAAAAGTGCTTTGCTTCCTTCATAATGAGTCTGTTAAGGCTTTAAATGTTTGTAAGTTATTGATCTAAAGTCTAGGATATTTCTGCAATTAAAACTAATTTCATTCACTTACTGTCAATTCTCTTTAAAAAGAAAGAATCTAGGCATAGTAGTGCATTGCTGCAATCCCATCACTTGGGAGGGGGAGGCAGGAGGATCAGAAGTTCAAGATCACCTTTGGTTACTCAGCAAGTTAGAGGTCAGCCTGTCTCAAAAAGCGATAGCAATAATCTAACCAAGAAGAAGTGAGGGAGACACCTTTAGAGGAAGCACAGACTTATCAAAGTTGCTCTAAAAATATGTTTTCTACCTTCACTCTGTGTGGCTAGTGAATGTATGCACAGGTATGGAGTTGCATTTCAACATGTTGATCTAATCAGTCAACGATCAACTGCTTTTATACAACATATTAGTGCTTTTTCAAATAGTATGGAACTAAGTGACCTCTATTACACTTTAAAGTGTAATTGGGGGAGAGGGGAGGAAGTAAGGAAACATATTCACTTACAATAGACAGACTGAAAGCCAAGAAAAGGAAGTGACTTTTTAGGGCTGTCAGGACTCTGCATTGGAAGCACAACGGGAACCTGAGCACTCCACCTGCTAGGACATCAGTGACTGTCCCCACAGCAGCAGGACATCTCTCTATACAGTTCAGCTTCAACACAGACTGATGCCAAGCTGCATTCTGCCAACGCCCCATCCATCTCAGCTGTGTGTTTGTGGTGTAAAAGGACCGTTGTCTCTCTAAGAACTATTTAACACATCGGTTTAGTGTCTCAACATTCTCATTCACATAAAATCAAAGGGAAAAAGGCCTCTGTCTAAGGCATATACCCACTGTCTAGAAAAAAAAATCGAACTCACTCTACATAGTGCCTTCCCAGCTGCCTTTGGCCCATAACAATGTATGAGTTGAATCTTGTGTTAGTAACTATTGTACAGTGTGGTTTTATCAGCGGCTTCATGCAAATCTAAGGACTCTTCTACATTCCCTTCTGTTAAAAAAAAAAAATATGACAGCGAGCATCTGTAGTAGCCTGTATATGTCCTTTTAAGGTTTCACCGGGGTATTTCTAAAATTGGAATTACAAAGTCAAAGTTATATACCCTTTACACCTTGGACAGCAAACACCCCTTAAGAAGAATTCAAGCCTGTGCAAAATAAACCCCTACATGGCCATAGTGTACAAATTTGCTCAGCATGCCTGCCATAGTCAGAACACTGAGTTATGGCCAAATTGGGCACAATTCTGTGCTAGTTTAATGATTATATACTCCATCAGCCCTCTGTATCCATCAGTTCTGTATCTGTGATTCAGTCAACCACAGATCAAATATATTTATTAAAAATTCTGTACTGAATATGTTCAGACTGATTTTTCTTGTAATTTCCTTAAATAACATGATGTTACATTTATTTACCCAGTATCTGCATCGAACTAAGGAGTATATGTCATTTAGAGATAATTTAAAGTACAGGGGGACTGTGTGTAGGATCTATACAAATACGATGCTGTTTTGTAGAAGGGACTTGCGCATGTATGGATTTGGGTGTCCACGGGAGTCCTAAGGTAGGCCTCTACAGACACCAAGGGTGATTGTATTAGAGCGTTCGAGCAAATGCCGTTCAGAGTAGAGCCGTAGTTTGGTTCAGTCTCACAAAGGGCCCCTGAAGAAGACTGAAGCGCTGTTGACCTCCACGGGGTGAAGGACATTTGTAGATAACTGGGGAAGGGATTCTCTGAAAGAAGATTCTAGAAAAGGCTCAGAGGTAGAGATGTTTTAGGGTCACTTCAGTGGCTCAGCTGGGACAAAGGTGGAATTGAGGGTTTAATTAAAGCCACCTAGAAATGGGGTTCACCAGGTAGTGACCTGCAAAGATTTGTATTTTGTTCCTTAGAAGTAGCAAGGTTTGGAGGGTTTGGAATGCTATGATGGAATGAGCCTTTAAGTCATCCTCCTGGAGGACTGGCATGGTGGGTGTCATGTGCCTTTAATCCCAGCACTTAGGAGGCAGAGGCAAGAAGATCTCTCTAAACTTAGGCTAGCTTGGTGAGCATAGGCAGTTTTAGGCAGCTAGGACTACATAATGAGGCCAGTCTTAAAAAAAACAACAACAACAACAAAAAACAAGCAAGCTAAAAGACCCTTCCTGGGTTGCTGTGTAGACTGAACATAAATAGGAGACAGTTGAAGACGTTTGTCACAAACCACCAAAGCTAACTGTGCGCTGTGCACCTCAGAATTAGTAGTAGCATTGAATGGAATTATCTGAGCCAAGAAAGCTTCTCTCATCATTGCAATACGAGCTGGCAAGAATCCACGAGCAGTGGAAGAAAGATAGGCAAGAGTAGCTACAGACTTTTAATTCACAGCACCCTCTTAAGTTATTTAGCTATCTAATGGATGAAATAACATGGTAACCTCACTGTAAGCTCAGAAGCTTGGGTGGGTCAGCTATGCATCGGAGCCTGTACATGAGGGACCGAGGCTGTCTGAGTGCATCTCTATGATCTATGAGCATTGGCATCATATAATTTGGAGTAAATGTATAAAAATACATTACAACCTTGTCCTGGGTGTGGATGTCTCTTAAACATGGCAAAGATAAGATCGGGAGAGGTGTTGATGTCTAGGGACTGTCAAGCTAGCGCAATCCTTTTGGGTCTAAACTCCATTTGACTTGCTTCATTTTCATAAATGAGCAATCAGTCATAATGAGTCTGCATCACCACGAAGAGCTCTGTTAACCCCGTTCTGTTACTAATTGCTCAAGAGACATCTGGGCCATGTCAGAAGGAATTAATCAACTAAGAACTCCAGAAGTCTAAATTAAGACTTGTGAGTGGCTAGTTAGTATGGTCTCACTTTGGTTCTGTCTGTGGGTTTGAAAGGAAATGCTGGATGATTGAAAGGCCCTGAGCATGACTGAAAGAAGTAGGCAGTGGACTAACAAAATGTGGAGGAAATGGGCGCCTGGATGGGAGCAGGATCCAACTTCACACTCAGAGAGCGGCATGCAGAGCTCTCTTCCGTCGGATTTGCTTCCGCTTTATCAGTGGCTTTGGGGAATGTGTATCTTCCAACTCTCAGTTCTTCAGTCGAGTGGAGAGAGGCCCTCTTGCTTTCTGTGCTCTTGTTGTCTTCCTCTCCCACCTCCTGCTCTCCGTCGTCTCCATCATCTGCCTACCTAGTAACAGGTGAGACAAGGTCAGGAGTTGTTGGGTGTTAAAGTCTTGCCTTTCTCGAAGCACAAGCTCCAGTGGCACTGCCTGTGTTGGGATCCAAGGTGAATGAGTCTCGAAATGGGTTCTTACTGGAATGAGGCCAGAGGGAAAGTGTGATCAGGACAAAACCCTGCCTCCCACCTTCCCAAGTCTCCATCAGTGGCTTCCCTAAGCATCCTTACCCGGGCTCTTATGTTAAACATTACATGAGTAACCAGTACCTTCTGTATGAGGAACCAGGGAGAAGCAGGCACCCTATATGTGGCAGAGGGATGAAGAATGACTCATGATGCTATGACTTCGTGGCCTGACTTTCACATCTGGGTAGCAGCTGGGCAGCTAGCATTGTTTGAGAACCTTACTGAGTTCCCTTTAGTCCTTGAGGTACATACCATTCTCATTCCTACCTCCTTCTCACGAAGGATGATCAAAAATAGGAAGATGTTGATTGTGGCTAGGCACCTAGTAAATCTTGGTTTCTAATCTTTGTTTCCATCCAATTAACAAGTTAGAAACCTACTTCTTTATTTTTATAACTTACGTTAGCCTGCCCAGGCTGCCTTACCAATTAATATAGACGAGATGTTTTATGCAACAAAAATTAATTTTTGCAGTCTGGAGAAAGGGCTCAGTGGGTAATAAAAGAACATTTATTGCACATGCAGAGGACCCACATTCAGTCCTCAGCACCCACACAGTGATTCCCAACCATCTGTAACTACAATTTCAGAGGATCCGTCACCCTCTTCTGACCTCTGAAGGCACCATACACAAACATGGCAGACACGCATGCCTGCAGGCAAAACACTCATACACAGAAAATAAATTTTAAGAAATATTTTTAAAAGGAATTATTTTTCATCATTTTGGAGGCTGAAATTAAAGGTCCAATAACAATAATTTAAAGAGATACAAATATAAACACGTAGTGATCACTGTTGTACTCGGCAACATTCCCAGCGTGCTAGGTACTGTACAAAACCAGTAGATTCTTTAAAGTACAAAGGAGGGTGTGTAGCCTCTGTGCACATACTAGCCATTGATGTAAGGCCCCTGAGCATCTGCTGGAGTGGCTACGGCAAGGACTTCTAGTGTTCATCAAGAAATGACTGTACTCTCAGCAAACTTCAGTGATTGCAAATTTCAATAAAGCATAGCGTGTAGAGCGACAATTTTGCCTAACGAACACCATCTGTGCCTTGTAGGATTTTCCAGTGCCAGCACTTAGGCACGTCTAATGAGAATAGGTGCAATAATCATTAAGCTGAAACAAGTACTCCTATTTATAGTAGTCTCTCCGATGCTGTGGGCACCTTCATTGTTCTACCATCCTCTTTGGATACGTAATTTCATTTTGTTGCGGGGTTGCTCTCAGATTTATTCCCTCATTT